GGAAGCTTTTATTAAGAGCTGTATCTTCATTATCCCTCAACTCGTCGTTCAGCCATTCATTTACACAAGCTCGTTATGTAGCTTACTCCCTGTGTTCCTCTTGCCTTCAATATCTCTTGTGAGTGTCAAATTCTCCAAACCCTTTTCCTCATCATGCATCCCAGACATTTCAACGGTGTCTTTCTCATTCTAAGTATAAGTCTCCTTTTTGTTTTCGTTTTCCTTAAACATTCCCGTTACTCATACAGTTCAATCTCGTTTCTCAATATCCTCCTGTATAACCACATGCCTGCTGTCTGAAATCTCTTCATTATCTCACCGGGAGATAGTCTGCCTTTTACATAGGAGGACAGAAATTGCATAACAGTTCAGCGTTATTTTTTTTTTATTTCTAACGAAATCTACTATCTATATTTCTCGTGTTGTCTGTCTGTGTGTCTGTCGTCGGCGTTGTTACCTCGCCTAGGCCGCATTTCTCACCCGATTTCGATGCGGTTTTCACCACAAGTTTGCAAATGGCTGCCTTAAAGACATGACGGAGCCCGATTTTTCAGTTCGGACTCAGGTTCTGAAAAAATCGATAATGTTGTCTGTCTGTGTGTCTGTCGTGGGCGTTTGTCAGTCAATGCTAAGGTGTTCACGGTATTTGCTACTCAAAGAGCACAAATTGTATTTTTAAATCGGTCAAACTTTGTACAGTTTGTTTATTTTTTTGTTACATATTATTAATATATGCAATACAAAAAAGTGACTGATTAATCCCTGTTACAGACGCCAGCTCCGACACATTTCTGTTTCTTCAATATCTACAGAGCCAAACCTGCGGATTATACTATGTTATGCTGATCCGAGTCACAGATTCTGGAAGAAAGCTCGTAATCTGATATGATCAATAGTTGAACAAAGACGGTACGTTCATAATCTCAGTCATGGTGATTTGCAATTGCGTGATAGCCAAAGCGATTTTTTCTATCCAATTTTACAAGTCTTGAGTCAACCCGTGGAGTATGCTTTTTACGCCCTTTCCAACGGTACGGGATGCTTTAATCACCTCATCCCCGCAGGCTGATATTATCCTTGACAAATTGATGTGATTCAAAACCCAGGTCTCATGTTAAGAATGATAACGTCCCAACCACTCAAATACTTCCCGATATTTTTTTTATGTTTGAAGAAAAGAAAAAAAAAATAATTAGATGTGACTTTATATAAAAATTTCTGAACTCAGATTGTTGAATGAGGTAGATTACTATATCTCAACAGTGTACGAAATCAGTTTAAGAGCCAATATCTACTTCGGTTCAGCTTTTCAATTATTTTCTCCTTTTAACGCACCACGATATTTCTAGCCGACCATTTTTGACTTACGCCAAACGAAGCCAATCGTCATGACCCTTTTTTCCTTTAGCGAATATGTCAGCTTTAGAATTTTACACGCTTTTCTTTAGTAAAAAGAAAAAAAAACTGACTTCCCTTTGTTCTTGAACGCGTATAGATTTCTTTGGGTCTGTAATCAATGCGATGTATGGCTTTTCAGTCCAGGACATACCATGTCGTATACAGACTCGAAGGCATTTTCTTTCTTAAAAGCATATTTCATGTGGATTTCGTAGAGAGAACGTATAAGAAATAATAAAAAAAGTACGTAAACGTCTAATGCTTTATATACAAGAGAAGATAAAAACCAAAACGAAATAACAAGTGTTTCTTCTCTCCTTTGACCTTTGCAAGCAAAGTAGAGTCGCAAAATATTAATGCTTTCCTCTTTATTTATTTACTTTTAAATCCATGTCATCCTCGAATACACGCACACAGATTGGTTGGCTGATTTTGCTTAGCAGCATATCAACTTCTATCGGTTATTTAATGCTAAAATCTTAATATTTTATATGCAATTTTATTTAGGGGTGGAGATAATAAGTGTTTTAGTGATACAAGCCTTACTAATTAACCTATATTATAAGATGTTTTTGCTTGTTAGATACTAAGACTTCTAATGATATCTTGTGGTGATCAAACTGGACAATTAGTTGGCAGCCATTATCATCTATATAATAAATGTGAATGTCAGTCTAAGTTTGTAATAATAACATGAATAACAACATGTGAACACTTGACAATTAATCAGCGCAGAATAAAAATATCGAAAAGCTGTATGAACCTAATGTAGTAGGCATATGTCAGAACCATCTGACACTGTATATAAAGGTTCCAAAAATACAACACTATACTTATATATATATATATATATATATATATATATATATATATATAAATTTTATGATATATATATATATATATATATATAAATTTTATGATATATATATATATATATATATATATATATATATATATATATATATATATATAAATAAATTCTATCACTTATATTTTATATATATATATATATATATATATATATATATATATATATATATATATATATATATATATATATATATATATATATATATATATATATATATATATATATATATATATATATATATATATATATATATATACGTTATATATATATTATATATACATATATATATATATATATATATATATATATATATATATTATATATATATATATATATATATATTATATATATATATATATATATATATATATATATATATATATATATATATATATATATATTATATATATATTATATTATATATATATATTATATATATATATTATATATATATTATATATACATATATATATACATATATTATATATATATATATTATATATTTCAATTATAGGCGCAATTATAATTTATAAATTAATGAATCATTAAAAGAAAAAAACAAATATAGAGGTTAATGATTTAAATGGCGAGAATACATCTTCGCAAACAATAGCAATAAGATACACCAACCCCGAACCTGTATATGAATAATATGATCCCAGTTTATAAATTCCAGTTGCATAAGGTCTTTTTAATTTTTTACAAGCTTTCTTCTGTTCCTACAGACATCCCCAGGTATGGAAATAGATTTATTCTTGTTTTTACTTCTCGGTAATAAGAGGACAACGAAAATATGGATGTAATCCGAAAAAATGCTATGAGAAATGTGTTATTGTTTTGGAACGTTCGGTCGCAACGCTGATTTTGAATTTTAAATTTTAAGGTTGTATGTTTTTGTACAAATATAGTAATAAGAGAATTCTTTTTACAGGTAGGTTTTCCGTTAATGTGGCATGAACTATATTGTTCAATAATTATATATATTGTGGGGAAAATAGAAATGGCTTACCTCCCAAACGCCCTCGCGTCTGTCTGGCCTGTGGGTTGAGAAAAGATAGAAAAGATCCAAGATGGCGTCCGTGAATTTTAATATTCACGGTCTCGTGCAGTCACGCAAAGTCGCGTTACACACATGCTAATGAGGTGTGCCTGGGCTCCATAAAAGCAGGTCGCTTGGAGAAATTGGCAGAAGGGCATTACACCCGTGTTTGGTGTACATTGCTTTGCAGCGTGTCAGACATTTTCAGACGGAAAGAGCTGCGTCCCTTACACTGTTGAATTCGACTCCTTTGCTACAATATATATATATAACTCACTGGGGGAATAATGTAATATATAGAATTTGGTTGGTTTATTTTTCTAAGGCTTATCAACCCTTTGCAGATTATTTAAAGAGAGAAAATATTTTTAGATACTTTTATAATAGCAAGTTAGTGATATAAGTCTTACTAAATTTGATTCATATTTATTTTAATTAGTTAAAATTAAATTTAATTATTTTGAACTATTGTTCTCATCTAGACTGTTAACGTTATTACAGAAAAAAAAAACCCCAAAAACAATGGACAACTTATGATATTATCCATAATAATATGAATAACAACATGTGAACATATATATTGACAATTAATCAGCGCAGAATAAAAATATAGAAAAGTTCTATGAACCTACTGTAGTAGGCATATGTCAGGAACATCTGACACTGTGTATAAAAGGCTCCAAAAATACACCACTAAATTCAACCTCTGTATCATGTAGGAACGAAAAAATAAGTGATATCACATATCAAAGTAACGTAATAATTTATAGATATTCCATATTAACCAACTAAATGTACGCCTGATGCTGGACAAAGTACTTGACCGAAACGTTGCAACTTTAATAATAATCGAGATGTGAAAAATAGTTCGCAATTGAAATTTAGTATTTGTATTATTATGAACGAAGAGTTGAAATTTAGTATTTGTATCAAGAATATCTTCAATAATCACTATGTCGAGAAAATTTAGAAGCAATTGTAAGAATACAAAATGTATAGTGGTGAGCAAAAGGGCAGCCTAAGATATCAATTACATAATAGGGATGTCAAAAATTTAAATATCTATATAGTTGAATAGTAGACCACATGCGACACGGAAGTATGGAAGTGAAAAGGGATAGCGAGTATACTTTTTATGTTAAAATCTATACAGACAATTATGTTACTAGGGCATTTTGTACGACCGGACACAAATTAGGTAAATGTATTCGATTTACCTTATGATATACAAAGTCATGTTTTTCATCTCTTTCAACGTATCAGTTGCTGGTAATTGGTTAATTATCATTAATAAAAAGAGTCTTTATTGTTCTTTATTCAAGTATTTTGTGATAACACTGGGCTGCCATGAATTTTGAAAAAAATTATAATTGATTTTTAAAAGAATTTCAAACTGAGATTTTTTATTTTTTTTATAAAATGGAAAAAAAATGGTGCCATGATCGATTATCTGCCAATTTTGCTGGCTCAAAAAAAAAAAGAAGATTTTTAACGAAAATTTCGGACGTGCTAGGAACGATTAAACAATGTAAAAAAATACCCCCAAAATACTTTGAACTTTCCTCTTAATAATAACATAAACATTTATACGATAATATTTGTTTTCGTCAAGTTTGACGTATTTGTCGTTATGCTATGCTCTTTTTTTTAGCGATATCTTGGATATCCATTACAGCACCCAAAAATCCAAGTTTACAGCCCCTGGTACCCCAAACAGTCACCCATCAAGTTACTGATTAGGCTCGACGTTGCTTAACTTCTGTGATCTGACGAGGACCGGCGTTTCAACGAGATGTGATCGTAAGGTTTGCGCACAAAGCCTCCCTCAAGATGACTTGTGCCTTCCCGCTAGTACAACCATCGGAACAGTTCCATCTATTCAGTTTAATTCCTAAGGCTGGGGTTAATATCCGTGGTATGCTTTTCATGCACTTTCCCAAGGTGCCGCCCGCTGAGATCGCCTCCTAAGACGGATAATATCAAGAATCTTACGATTGTTGATTTGTCAGGGAGAGGCGGTCTCCCTGAAAAATCGACCATTGTGAGATTTCAATCCGGATCTCATAGCTATTAAGCGAACCTTCTAGACAGTTGGACATGCGCACAGAAAAAAATATTAGAAATAAAGAAAATGGCCTTAGAATACCATGTGATGTCTGTTCTTCTGTATGGTAATAAAAGCTAAACAGTTATCGTCACAAATAAAAAGAAAAACGGATTCTAACGGCGAAGACCATTGACAAAGCGTATGAAAAGAAATAAGAGCGAGAACCAAAAAGAAATTTTTACTTAAACGCAAAACGAAAAAATATTCTAAGAACATTGACAAAGCGTATGAAAAGAAAGACGAATGAGAAACAAAAAAAAAATAACTCTTACTTAAATCCAGAAAAAGAAAACTGAAATGTTTAGGATGTAAGAAGGCTTGGAATATATCTGGGGATTAGCATGACAGACGTCGCCAATGATATATTGGTAAGATTTCATTAATTTGCTTAATCTTAAAATATTCTTTGTTCAGAAACCACATGGCCAGTTGTCCACTTAACCAAATTTAGATAACCCATTTTCCGAAACTAGCGTCTTTATGAAAGTGCTGGCGAATATATCCACATGTAAACAAAGGGAATAGGATATTTTCTTTCTGCACTCCACCCACACCTATCCAAATGGGATAGGTCTATATATAAACAAGGTCAATGGCCTTTAGCGATAATTTTATTTTTATCAGTTGTTATCATTTTCACTGGATTTAGTGAGAGTCAATTTGTCCATAGACTCAGCCATTCTCGATTTAATGCAACTTAATATTCTCTAAGATCCTCTCCATTCATCGGATTTCTCGAAACAAATTAGATTTTTAATTATTTCTCTTTTAAATTCTATTCCCATTCACGTTTTCTCCCATTCTTCGCGGTCCTTTACTATAAATTGAGCCGTTATAAATGTCGGGTCAATCTATGAGAGCTACGGGTAATATGTAATTTATGTAACTGCCACATCGTCGGTTTATCGACGATTAAAGCGATTCCTCCAGCAGGTTTGGTTTGTTTAACGACATATCAACTCCTTATTACTCATTTAATGACGAAATTTAATTTCCTTGGGAGCTTTGGTAATTTTTTTTATTTATTTTCTTTTTTTTTTTACTATTAAAATCTATTGTTGAAATATTTTACTATAAATATATTTTTATACTTTCAAAGTGTTTTGGTCCCAGTTCACTATTTTTCCATAGCTGAACCCCTAAGAAGGGCTATTACCCCAGGTTAGGGTGGATCTGGGGTCAACAGCAATTAAGAAGTGATTTCATGTTACTCAAAACCTCCCGATCAGAGGCCTTGCTGCCGCATGTAGTTTATCTTCAAACGCAGAAGGATCCCCCAGCAGGCTTTTCCTGTGTGAAGAATTTTTCGTCATCCAGCCGAATCTAAACCAACACCTGTCAAAGTGTGTATGATACCTCTGCGGTGTCAATGACAATCTAACTACACTGTTGCTTTACGGATAAACTTAAAAATTAAAAAAATTGGTTAAGTAAGCCAAACCCGACAGAAAACACGGCTCGGTTTCATTCAAACCTTTCACTGTGTCGCGAATCACTGTTCTACAAGCTCCTGTCGCCAAACTGACCACAACGTATCGCTTCTCTCTTTCAATGTATACAATCGGGGAATCTAAGATGCGGTACTTGCTTCCTGGTCAACAGGACTTCCGTGCAACATAACAAGGCCCTGGAAAGGAAACTGTAGCTTCACCTTGTAGCATAGGCAAAACACGGGTAGCCAGCTGTCACCGATTTTAAGCCTATCGTAAACAACATCTTGTATCGTTTAATAATTTTACCACTTGGAAAAAAACCCGCATAAAATCGACTTTGAATAATAAATATATTTAAGTAGATTTTAAGTGGTATAAATTATAATTATTAATTAAATATATTAAAAATGAACAATTGTAGCAAAAAGATCTGGCAGCCTGACTCGGATGAGATTGGTATCTACTTAGTCCCCCCACTTAGATGTGTTGTGACACAAGGTCGGGATTATTGTGGGGGTACCTGAGGGTTTCCACACAGGCCATTCGTCAAAATTTATTCAGACCCCGTTTTTTTTTCTCTCAGCCGAGTCTCTATCCGAAGACAGAGACCTGGCTGAGTCTCACACTAACCGAATACAGAGGTCTTGCTACCCTCTGCCCGAAGACAGAAGTCTTGTCTGTCGCAATCCTGGCAGCAAACTGTATCTACTCAGTTCCCCCAATAAGATGAGTTGTGACAAAAGGTCGGTATTATTGTGGAGAAACACGATCGTTTCCACCGGGCCATTAGCCAAAATTTACCCAGACACTTATTTTTCTCAGCGGAGTCACTATCTGAAGTGAGAGACTCGACTGAGTCACCCTATAAAAATCGACCTTAATATCAACCGTCAATTTGCTGTGAGGCTAAGAGAATAAAGTAGCAACGTTAAAGAGCAGAACGATCTCGCTAAATAATCAACATCATTGTGAGAGGCCGTTACATACAATTTATACATTCATGGTCAAATATTAGGCGAATTTAAGGGCAGAAATGGCTTACTTAAAAATTGTAGAAAATAAAAATCTTTAACACTTGGTGGAAAGATCACGTCTAAAATGTATGCTGTAGAATCTGTCCACATTTGTTGAACTGTTTCGTTGTTCCTTGTTATGAATAATCAAGAGTATTCTCCTCTTGTTTTTTTACACTCCTCTTTATGAGAGCTATTTCTGTTTACTGACACTATAAAAGGACACTATACGCGAACCTTGTAATCTCAGCTGAATAAAGCTTTCTTAAAGCCTACATCTGCGTACTTTTGTCATTACATTCCTTACATACACGAGGGAGGCTGAATCCGAAAAAATATTTCCCTCATTCACAAATTTTGAAGTTTAGTCATTTACTTAGATTTTAGGATGTTGGAAGAATTGAGAATATTTTTCATTGACTCCAAGTATCTATGTATCTACACTACAGTTCAAAGGTTTGAGTAGACCCCTGATAATTTGTTTAAATAACACAAAACGTAGTTGTTTTGTACTTTAAATAAGATACAATTATTATACATGGTTAAAAAGAAAAGTCAGAATGATTTTCTTATTACAGATTTTATTATGGTAAAAAGAAAAAAATTGCTTAAATTTTGCTCTTGTTTAAATATCCTCCTTTAGCCATGATTATTGCAGCACACGTTTTTGGCATTCCTTGTAAAAGTTTCTCAAACGATAAGTTTGATAATTGATTCCATTCTTTTTTTCATTAACTCTAGGAGCTCTTATTCATTTTTTCACTCTTCTGTCAAGTTTATCGCATGGTAATTCTGGGGGGTGGCTTCAAACTTTTGAACTGTAATCTATCTATTTCTCTCTCTCTCTATATATATATCTATCTATCTGTTATTTATTTATTTATCTGTTATTTATTTAGCTATCTTTTTATTTACCTATCTGTTTTTTAATTCGATATTATTAACAACGGATAAAAATCCATTGGTTGCTTAAAAGTTACTTTATTTACGTTTCGGATGCGAAGATAAACACATATAAACTTCCATCGATACGGTTGATTGAGCTTCGCATTACTCTGATGTCTTCCCGTAGGTAAATTGCAAAATGCACTTGGAATGAAAATGGTTTCCCCAGTGAATGTGGGTTCGATTTCTCTCAGGGGTCTCATTTTATTTAATGAGTTTTTTTGATTTTTTTTATATCTAGGCAGGTAGAAATTTATTATACTGTTTAAAAAAAACAAAACAATGTCAACATAGATATCTGTGTCCACAAAGCATAAGGTCTACAGTAATATATTTAATATATAAATAAAAGTTCAAATAAGATTTTTTACAGTGTTGTTCACTCAGAACAAAGCCCGAGAGTCACTCCAGGTAGAGAGTTAAAGAGTAACAAACAGAGTTTATGGGTATTTATGAGGAAGATTATGGTTAGCCCTGAACATAAACAAATTAAAAATGTAGTGATCGGGGAAGCATCCTCCTGGGAGAAGATTCCACAAAACAGCGTTTCGTGAGAAGAACCTGCTCGGGTGGAACTTACATATGTCTGGTGGGATACGAAGGGAATGTTGGTGATTCGCTAAAATGGGCGTGGTTTGCAGGTGTTTACTCAGAAGGTAAGAACTGGTTAAACTAGGGAATATCATTCAGTTTTAATATTTTCCATGGAAATAGCGATCCTGAGATTTTTCGTTTGTGGGAAAGGGTTTGTAGGGTGGAAAATAATTCATCATCCACAAGGACATGGAGAAGCTTTTTTGTTGAAGATTCACATAGATACCTTCCTGATCATAACGGGTAAGATAAATTCACTCACAAACATCGCGTTCATTATCTATTTTAAATAAGCTATACTAACAAAAATCTTAATTATTCATGTGTTCTTTACTAAAAATTCTAAACAATTGACAGTATTCAATCTGAAATATATATATATAAAATAGGTACCTCTAGGAGATCGCTAAAAAAAGAGCATAGCATGATGAAAAAGACGCCAAACTTGACGAAAACAAAATTTTATCGTCTAAAAGCTTATGTTATTATTAAGAGGAAAGATCAAAGTATTTTGGGGGTATTTTTTTTTACATTTTTTAATCGTTTCTAGCAAGTCCGAAATTTTCGTTAAAAATCTTGTTCTTCTTTGAGTCAATATTGACAGATGGAAACCATTTTTTTCCATTTTATAAAAAAATGAAAATCTCAGTTTGAAATTCTTTTAAAAATAAATTATCAATTTTTCAAAACTTATTTTAAGAAAATCAGAAA